GTGACCTGAATGCATCATCAGTGTTACAGGGTGTGACTCCTGTGACCAAACTGACACAGTGTGATATTACATATATTTAAATCTGTCTTTACTGATGTTGTTTGAAGCTGCCAAAGGCTCAGTGAAGTTTGGACATGTCTTCCTGCAGTGAACATCACAGCAGGTTAACAAGTGAAATGTGGAAACTGATGCACAACACAAGAGGGCGCCTTCATCCTGCTAACCAGGGATGTAGTGGAGGTTAAAGCACCTCAACTCAGTGTCCACAGTTTTAGTTCAGAACATGTTTTTAGGCTGATAAAAACCTTTATAGTAAAAGTGCATTGTGTCATACATCATGGTAAAAGCTGTCAAACTGATATTAATTCATCAGTTAGAGGAACTTTACTGTCAGTGATTTAATGCACCACCCGGCCAGCACGCTACGTGACCCAAATAAAAAACACCCAAGATGTTGCAGACCGACGGGTGCAACTTTTAAAATCATGTAAAGTGTACCCACTCAGTCCAAAAATGTGATAGTTTACAGTGTCTGGGTTTGTGAGTGGATGTCGTGCATCAGGGTCTGTAATCCAGGCTTGAGCTGCTGAGTCACATGGATCTACAGTACTGTGCAAAAGTTTTAGGCAGGTGTGAAAAATGCTGCGATTTACAAAATGTCAAGTGAACAAACCGAGGAAACATTTAAATCAAATCAATATTTGGTGTGACCACCCTTTGTCTCCAAAGCAGCATCATTTCGTCTAGGTACACTTGTTCTTAGTTTTTAAAGGAACTCAGCAGGTAGGTTGTTCCAAACAACTTGGAGAACTAACCACAGATCTTCTGTGGATGCAGACTGCCTCAAATCCTTCTGTCTCTTCATGTAATCCCAGACAGACTCGATGATGTTGAGATCAAGGCTCTGTTGGGGCCATACCATCACTTCCAGGACTCCTTGTTTTTCTTTACGCTGAAGATAGTTCCTAATGACATTGGCTGTATGTTTGGGGTCGTTGTCCTGCTGCAGAATAACTTTAGGGCCAATCAGATGCCTCCCTGATGGCACTGCATGATGGATAAATATCTCCCTGTATTTCTCTACATTGAGGACACCATTAATCCTGACCAAATCCCCAACTCTATTTGCAGAAATGCAGCCCCAAACTCGCAAGGAACCTCCACCGTGCATCACTGTTGCCTGCAGTCACTCATTATTGTACCGCTCTCCAGCCCCTCAGCGATCAAACTGCCTTCTGCTATAGCCAAACATTTCATATTTTGACTCATCAGTCCAGAACACCTGCAGTCATTTTTCTGCACCCCAGTTCCTATGTTTTGGTGCATAGTTGAGTCACTTGGTCTTCTTTCCACATCAGAGGTTTGGCTTTTTGGCATTCTTCCATGAAGACCGCTTCTGGCCACACTTCTCGGGACAGTGGATGGGTGTACCTGGATCCCATCGGTTTCTGCTCGCTCTGAGCTGATGACACTGCTGGACATCGTCTGTGTCATAATGTGTCTTTCATCTGCTGTGCTAAGTTTCCTTGGCTGACCACTGCTTCTACGGTCCTCAACATTGTCCGTTTTTTTGTGCTTCATCAAAAGAGCTTGAACAGCACATCTTGAAACCCCAGTCTGCTTTGACATCTTTGCCTGGAAGAGACCTTGCTGATGCAGTGTAACAACCTTGTGTCTTGTTGCTGTGCTCAGTCTTGTCATGGTGTACAACCTGTGACATGATACTGACCTCCACAACCTCACCTTGGTAGCAGAGTTTGTCTGTTCCTCACCTAGTTTTAAGCCTCCTACACAGCTGTTTCTGTTTCAGTTAATGACTGTGTTTCAGCCTACATATGAAATTGAAGATCATCAGCACTGTTTGGTATAATTGGTTAATCAGACACCTGACTATGATCCTACAAAATCCCTGACTGTCTGTGTGCATGTGTACCTAGAAGAGCTGATGCTGTTTTGAAGGCAAAGGGTGGTCACACCAAATATTGATTTGATTTAGATTTTTCCTCTGTCGGCTCACTTTGCCTTTTGTAAATCAAGAGAAATAAACAATTAAACTTCATACATAATTATTTTTTCACACCTGCCTGAAACTGCCTAAAACTTTTGCACAGTACTGTACATTATTTATCAGTTTGTCCCGATGCTGTTGTTTGGCACTGCAGTTAAATTTTGTATTTTCATTTCTCCACCTGATTGGACCAATGTAAGCAACTATTTAGCCAAACAAAACAAAAGATAAACAGGTACCCACTGTACAAAGAACAGGTAACAGAGCGTGTTCCTCACAAGATGGTGCCCGCGTCCCAATGAGCAACACAGGGCGCACACCTTAACGTTCCCGTAACTGCTCCATGTTTTCTGATGTAGTGAGTTTTTATTCTACTGTTACTTCTGTAAGAACTGACAGGTTATTTCATTTATGTGACTTAATAATGCTTGTTGCACCCACCATGCTGTCCACGTAGACTTCTGATTCATTTCCTGACATTTGTGATTGATCGTCTGAGTTTTGTCTCTTTTCAGGTGAATTCTGTCGTCAGTCAACTGTTTTTATTTAACTGAACAGAATCTGAGGGAGAGTCACAGAAATGTGGAGCCATCAACTAAACCTGAAGAAGAAAGACGTATTTTATAACTAGGAACTGATTTTTTCTTTCACGCAGGGAGCAGGTTTTAACTGAGGCTTCATTTTAAATGTGGAAACTACAAAGTTCAGATTCAAAGTGCCGCTCCTCTTCCTGGAATGACTCAGAGTTTTATGAGCCCTCCCTCCTCCTCCTGCTCTCACACACAGCAAGCTCCACTCTATCCACACATTTCCTTGTTCCCTCCCCTTCAGATCTACAGATTGAAGATGGGTGTAACCAACATGTGGTGACGTGAGAGAGCTGACAGGCTCCATTCACTGCAGGAACACATGTTCAGTTCAGAGCTCAAACTAGTTTCACTTTTAAGGAAGTGAGAGTCAGACAGGCGTTGTCACTGAGAGGTGAAATGGCGCAGAAAGGAGTTGAGCTGGACCGAGAAACCTTCTCTTGTTCCATCTGTCTGGATCTACTGAAGGATCCGGTGACTATTCCCTGTGGACACAGCTACTGCATGAACTGTATTAAAACCCACTGGGATGAAGAGGATGGGAAGAAAATCTACAGCTGCCCTCAGTGTAGGCAGAGCTTCACACCGAGGCCTGTCCTGGTGAAAAGCACCATGTTAGCAGTTGTAGTGGAGGAACTGAAGAAGACTGGACTCCAAGCTGCTCCTGCTGATCACTGCTATGCTGGAGCTGAAGATGTGGCCTGTGATGTCTGCACTGGGAGAAAACTGAAAGCCCTCAAGTCCTGTTCGGTGTGTGTGGCTTCTTTCTGTGAGAAACACCTTCAATTTCATTATGATTTGGCGCAATTCAAGAAACACAAGCTGGTGGAGCCCTCCAAGAAGCTGCAGGAGAACATCTGCTCTCGTCATGATGAGGTGATGAAGATTTTCTGTCGCACTGATCAGCAGTGTATCTGTTATCTCTGCTCGATGGATGAACATAAAGGCCACGACACAGTGTCAGCTGCAGCAGCAAGGACTGAGAGGCAGAGAGAGCTGGAGGTGAGTCGACAAAACATCCAGCAGATAATCCAGGACAGAGAGAAAGATGTGAAGCTGCTCCAACAGGAGGTGGAGGCTATCAGTCGCTCTGCAGATAAAGCAGTGGAGGACAGTGAGAAGATCTTCACTGAGCTGATCCATCTCATGGAGGAAAGACGCTCTGATGTGGAGCAGCAGGTCAGATCACAGCAGGAAACTGAAGTGAGTCGAGTCAAAGAGCTTCAGGAGAAGCTGGAGCAGGAGATCACTGAGCTGAAGAGGAAAGACGCTGAGCTGGAGGAGCTCTCACACACAGAGGATCACACCCAGTTTCTACACAACTACCCCTCACTGTCAGCACTCAGTGAATCCACACACTCATCCAGCATCAACATCCGTCCTCTGAGCTACTTTGAGGGTGTGACAGCAGCTGTGTCAGAAGTCAGAGATAAACTACAGGAAGTTCTGAGGGAGACATGGACAAACATCTCACTGACAGTGACTGACGTGGATGTTTTACTGTCAGACCCAGAGCCCAAGACCAGAGCTGAGTTCTTAAAATATTCACGTGAAATCACACTGGATCCAAACACAGCACACACACGTTTGTTTTTATCTGAAGGGAACAGAAAGGTGACATTAATGAATCAACAACAGTCTTATTCTGATCACCCATACAGATTCACTGAAGAGTTTCAGGTCCTGAGTAGAGAGAGTCTGACTGGACGTTGTTACTGGGAGGTGGAGTGGAGCGGGGGAATAGATTATGTGGCAGTCACATACAAAAACATCAGCAGAGCAGGGAGCATAAATAAATGTAGATTGGGATGGAATGACAAATCTTGGGCGTTAAGGTGTGAGAAGAGCAGTTATAAATTTTTGTACAACAATGCTGAAACTCCCATCTCAGGTCCTCGGTCCTCCAGAGTAGGAGTGTACCTGGATCACAGAGCAGGTATTCTGTCCTTCTACAGCGTCTCTGAAACCATGACTCTCCTCCACAGAGTCCAGACCACATTCACTCAGCCTCTCTATGCTGGATTTTTGCTTTACCCATCTCATGGAAACACTAGTTGGATTTACATCCAAAAGTAATGCAAATTTTGGCTGAATTGTCAGAAACACAGAAACACAACACACACAAAAAAAAAGCTAATAGTTGGGCCACAGAGCATTTTGAACAACTACAGCTCTGAGCTCTGTGTTCTGGTGAATAACTGGTATGCATACATAAGCATGTTGAAAGCCTTCAGAAACAAGGATTAGAGCTTGCAGTGGCCTATGCAATGACTGTACATTTGCTGAGTTTCCATTGCTTTAAGTTGCATTTACCTTTCATCAATACGACAATGTTTCCAAAACAATTTTGCAATATGTGTTTCAAATCTTATTCAGTCTCCATGTTTGTCGCTGAGAGCTGATTGTTGTGGCGTCTCTTCACTGCACTGAGATCAGCTGTCAGTCAAACTTTATGGGCGGTACTTTGACGTCTTCTCCTGAGTTGTTGTGTAAATATTTCTTGCGGTGGCGCTCCTTCCTGTGTGTGTTTAGCCGTGGAGGCTGTCACTGCTCATCATGATGTGTTGTAAACTTCTTTGTGCTCTGAATGTTTAATGAACATTTCAGTGGATGTATTTGTACGTTGTTGTTTCTCTCCCACTGCATGAGTCTGAAGAGAGAAATCAGCAGACCTCCTTTATCTCAGATATTGTGCTTGTAAATTTGTACAGAAATGTATAATTAGCTTTTAATGTGTTGGTGTGGCAGATTAGTTAGCTACTAGAAACTGTAATGATCCTGATCATAATCAATAAGGAGATCATTCATTAATGTCTTTTACACAAACTGAAGGTTTACATGATGAATAAACAAACATGAACAAAGTATTTTCTTCTTGTCTTCATTCCAAGGTATCAAACAAAGCTGATGGAGAAACTGTGACACTGATATGAGAGTATAACTGAGGCAGTTTTCCTCCTGAAACACCACAAAGTCCAGTGTTCATGTTCAGAGCAGAAGAGCGTTTGTCAGTCAGTCTCTGTCCTTTAACTTTCCATACTCAAACAGTTTTGTCACAGAGAAATGAGCAGAGTTTTCTATCATGTGTTGCTTTTTACAAGGAACATTTTCTTTGTGCACTGAGTCAAGAAAGAGGATTTATTACAGAGAGATATTTGAAACACACAAGAGACAACAGATATGATGCAAAATACTTTTTACAACCTGAGAGCTGATGTGAATAACATTTGCAAAGTGGAAACTCTCCTCTCCCATCTTTCCCACGTGACCTGAATGCATCATCAGTGTTACAGGGTGTGACTCCTGTGACCAAACTGACACAGTGTGATATTACATATATTTATATCTGTCTTTACTGATGTTGTTTGAAGCTGCCAAAGGCTCAGTGAAGTTTGGACATGTCTTCCTGCAGTGAACATCACAGCAGGTTAACAAGTGAAATGTGGAAACTGATGCACAACACAAGAGGGTGCCTTCATCCTGCTAACCAGGGATGTAGAGGAGGTTAAAGCACCTCAACTCAGTGTGTCCACAGTTTTAGTTCAGAACATGTTTTTAGGCTGATAAAAACCTTTATAGTAAAAGTGCATTGTGTCATACATCATGGTAAAAGCTGTCAAACTGATATTAGTTGGCCTTTAAGGCTGTCATTTGAGGACATATTATTGCCTATGAGACAAGACTGAAGGAGGACAGACATAAGGAGTTATCAGAAATCGCTGCACAGCTTTCAATGCATGAAGCTGACTATAAAACATCTGCTTCACCTTCTAAGCTGAATGATATACTTAAATTGAAATAAAAATATCATTCTATTCTTTCCAAACAAGTGAGTATGATGCTTTTAAAACATTTTGATCTGGCTGACAAGCCAGCTTAGAGGCACGCAGGCTAATTGAACAATTCATAAAATTAAAACCAAATTGGGAATTATTACTACGCATCCAAAAGAAATTAATGAGACCACTGCTGACACTGAAGAAATTTCCCCAATTCCTTTGCACTTTCCCTCAACCCAAACTGAGCTCCTCAGCATAAAAAGACTTGACCACCAACATAACATTAGAGGAAGTCACATAAGCAATACGTTCTTTCCACAATGGGAAAGCTGCTGGGTTTAACAGAGTTTTACAAAGTATATTCAGACAAGATTGCCCCCATCATGCTCAGAATGTTTCATCATTCTATGACAATTCATCAACACCCTGAATCTTTACACTTGGCTTACATCTCTCTGATACTGCAAAAAGATAATGATTAGCTGTAGCTGTAACTCCATATGCAGCACATCAGGTTCATGCTTTGTAATGAAACTATCTTAACTGCATTGTCCCTATTAAATAAATAAATTCAACTGAGACCAACCCAGCCTCATATCACCCTATTGCCCTTCTCGGCTGTGATGTTAAGGAGTTTACTGAAATACTCACAAACAGACTTAATAAATGTATAGCAAGTATAATCCATCATGACCAAACTGGATTTATTCCAGGAAGATTCTCCTTTTTCAGTATTAAACGTCTGATGAATATTATGTTCTCCAGATATGCTGATATGAAATGCTGTATGCCTCCCCAGTGGCCTCTGTCATTACCAGGGACGGGCTGGGGTTGAAATTCAGCTTGGGAGCTTGATTTGGAGAGGCCTTTTTTCCGATCGCACGACGGACGCAAGCGGAACCAATTTTAACACAAATACTTTATTTGCAGTATAAAACAATCTAATGATATTAAACGCAACACACACAGATTAGTCAGTCAGTAGAGTGTATTGAATATAATATAATTCTATGCAAAGACCTATTGCCAACCCAATCCTGCACATGCACCTGGCACTGTTTTTTTGGTGGTTCCTGCTCCACTTTCCTCCTTCTCCTCCTCCTCCTCCTCCTCTTCCTCCTTCTTCTCCTCCACCTCCTCCTCTTCCATCTCCTCCTCCTCCTCCTTCTCCTGTCCCTCCTCATCTGTCTCTTTCTCCTCCTCACTCCTATGACTGGCATTATCCTGTCCCTCTGCATCAACTCCTCGACTGACACTGGCCTTGTCAGCTAATAATAACAATAACAGCAACAACGATTAACGTTATAGCAAAGAATTCACAGTGTTAGAACACAAATACAATACAAAAATCAACAGAACAAAAGTGGCACACACACACACACACACACACACACACACACACACAAAATGAATTACTCACTTTAATCTATTTTTCTTGAGCTGGTAAAAATGGGCCTGAAAATTACAACCTTACCCGACCCGGCCCTGCGGGTCTTTAAGCCCAGACCCGACGCAGCCGACACACAAGCATTAGCCTAATTGTCTGCCCGAAAAAAAGGAAGCCTGAGGCCCGACCCTCCTAGCCCATTACTATTTGCGATTGCTATGGAACCCCTTGCCATTAGCGTTAGAATTCATAACGCTATTGCTCCATTAATCCTAGGAAAGATTAATCATCACATCTCGCTTTATGTGGATGACATGGTTTTGTTTCTATCTCGTCACGTAGAATCCTTGCCTCCCCTGTTAGAACTCAATAAAACATTTGGTGCATTCTCAGGTTAAACTTTAAATTGGGAGAAACGCAAATTTATTTCTTACAGGAGACGCGGACCCAAATTTTCTGAAAAACTTGCCCTTTTACATTGCCACAGATAAAATGAAATATCTATATCTATATCTATCTCCAAAGATGCCAAGCTTATTTACAAATTGAATTTCTTAAATTTAATGGAAAAATTTAAATCTGACATTGAAACCTGGAGATTGCTTCCTTTGTCCATGATAGGGTGCTTCAATGCAATCAAAATGGTGACTCTCCTCAATTTTCTTTACCTCTTTCAAAATTTACCCATATTTCGTCGTGTACCCAAATGCAGCACTCTGAGGCAGGCAGACAGTTGGTAATGACCTTACGCACAGATTAACCAGAAACTAGAGCTGGCGTGACTTTTCAGGTCACAGGGCCCACACACAGTCTCTAGGTGCAGGGGCCAGGGAGTGGACCGGGCTGAGCAGTTCAGTGGGCTAGCAATCAGTGGTAATAAAGAGGGGCTTACGGATAGTGTAGTTTGGCAAGGGGAGGGATCCGGCTAGGAGTCCAGTGAAGCAGAGCTGACGAGGGATGAGCGCTGGGTAGGGTTGCCACCTTGGATTTGTGAAAAAAAGGGACACTCGACCAAATGTTTGAGGCGGAGGGCTCGGCCCTTATTACCAGTTCAGACTGACCAATGAACATGAAATTTTGACATAGGATACCAGATTTGCCATCATTTCATGTCCTTCTATGTGCCTGTATTTTATATTAATTTTTATATCAATGAAAAAAACAAATCTGTGTTACTAAATTCTTACATTTTTACATGTATCTCACCATAGCAAGTTGGAAGTTGACATATTCTGCCATATCTGAAGAGGGGAGACTCTCTGGAATCTGGCAATATAAGAACCATGATGCTGGGACATTCTGTCACTTCACAGTTGTCCAAAACATGTGGTTTGTGCCAGGTGGACATGATTG